AACCCTCTAAATGACATTTGTACCAAGTTCACAGACTGCCATGTCTGACCTATATTTTATTGACTTTGCCCCTGATGTTGTGAGGATGCAGGTTATTTTCACTTCCTGTACTCTATTCGACATGTGATCTTAGGTCAAATTAGTCACGATCCAGCCCTTGGTAGGTATTCCAGTGTGGCGTCCAGTAGCAACTGATAAGTATGAATAAAACCCTCTCTCTGCCTTGCATATAAGGTCTAATTCACGTAGTTAAGTTGTTCATTGTCTTTGTCTGAAAGACCAACCCTTGAAATGCCATGCACCAGTGCTGATGCATTTTTTTAAATGCCTTACTTAAAAGGGGATTCAGTGGAGGCGTGGGGTCAGTCCCCTGAGTGTAAATTGTGTGCACAACTGTTTGAGCTGTCAATGTGCTTCTGATTGGGAGCTTTCAGTTTGACTGTGTGCGCACACTGGCTTTATCAAAGATATTTTAATATCCAAAATTGTTCCATTAAGTCAGTTGCACATGTTTCAAATAACTCTCTTTAGGAGAACCAAAGAAAACATTTCCACCTAAGCCTGCAGAACAGCTGAACTTACTCCAGCAATGACATGGAAGCTGAATGAGTCAGGAAAGGAATGAGTTCCCAAACCTTGCATTGTATTGAATGGAAAGCAGTAATAATCATCCATGCAACCAGCCCTATGAAATATTAATAAAAAAACTCTGCAAGCAGTAACAGTACCTCTCAATATCACACACACTTTTAGAAACTGAGATGATCTGTTGTACATGTCTTAATGACCCAGTCACAAAAAGACTGAAATCATTCTCTGCAATTGTTTTCACCTTAAAATAAGCTAATGTTGAAACCTGGAATTGTGCTCCATGCAGTTCATAACTTCATGACATTTCAAAACATTGGATAGTCCATTGTCAAAATATGGGGAAGACACAACAGCATTGCAAGATTCCACAAACAGCAAGGAGATAACAACCAGTCTGTTTGGTGATGTTACCATAAGGATCGTTATTGGCCAGGGCACAAACAGCATCAGAATCTTTTAAAAACATTTAAAGGAAGTAGTCATGAGGTTGGGGGCAGTGATGGTTTGGTGGAACCTTTGGATAACAACTGGATGAAAAATTAAGGGCAGCGAGCAGACGCAAGTCAGAGTTTAATTTTCGGGAGACTTCAATGGGCAGATTTGGACTGGGCTGATTTGTAGTCCTGGAGATGTGAAGTAGAAGGATGTGCTGGATTAGAGGCTTCGTTATTGTAGACTTAACTTGGAGAGAGGTTATGGAGGGGTTTTTAAACAACTGCGCAAAATTTAATAACTACTGCTTTATCCTCTTCCTCTCCCACGTATCTCTGAACCATACTTCCTTGTCTGCTGCTACCTACCCTTAATCTCCCCTGACCCCCACATTTATGTGCACCCATCCCCACAGCCCTCCGGGTATATATTCTCGGGTGAGGAACACGATTGCCTTCCTGATTTATCCTGGGAATTGCATCTTGTGCCAAGCAAGGACCTCTCCATTTTTGCAGAAAGATGCCACATCAGGGAAATTTGCTACATATTTTTCTGTGCTGCCAGTGAATCTTCTTGCAAATTAGCAATTCTGCATCTAGCAGAATGTCAAAATCTGAGCTGTTCATAGGCAGGAAGGTCTTCATCCAAATGACCAGGCATTTTCTAAGCAGTAACCACTTCACACAAGCAATGATTCCTATGAAAGCAGCACAGTATTTGTTAAAGTATATATCATATTCATTTTACTAGTTATTAGTGAACAGTGTTAATACTGAGCAGCGAAGCACCGAGTGGGTGTAGAATGCAGCTTGAGTGAGGGTTAAAAGTTAACACAAAGTTAAGTTAAAGTGCACGTCCAGGGAGAGAGAAAACAGCAAATCTCCTGGATGGAGAGGGGTGGTGGTGACATTAAAAGAGGTCTTTGCTTCAGTTTTTTACTAGGGAGTTGTCATGTGTCTGCTGCCCTTGTCTGGGGTTGTGGAGGTGACTGGTTTTGGAGTTGCTATCCAAGGTGCCTCGGTGAGTTGTTTTAGTGCATCATGTACTGTTGTGCATCAGTAGTGAAAGAAATGAATGTTGAAGATGATGGATGGGGTGCCAAACAATTGGGACTCTGTCCTGGATGTTGTTGAGCGTCTTGAGTGTTGTCGGAGCTGATCTCATCCAAGCAAGTGGAGGGGCATACTCCGTCACACTCTTGACTCCTGCCTTATAAATGGTGGACATATTCTGGGGAGTCAGGAGGTGTGTTTCTCACTGTGGGATTCCTCGCTTCTGACCTGCTGTTGTAGCCATAGTTCTGGTCAATAGTAACCCCCAGGAGGTTGATGTTAATGAACAAGAATATGCGATAAAAATTGATACTTGTCTAAAAAGGCAATGAGCACAAATTTTTTAGAAGAGACTTCATGCCTACAAGTACAGTAGAATTGCTTCAGGAAACAACCAGGTATGAAGACAAAAACCGAGAGTAGAGAATTATTTAGAGAAAAAGTGCAGAAAGCTGCAACACGAAGGTACTTTGGGGATCTCGTACGTGAGACCCTGAAAGCTAGCACATGGGCAGCTGGGAATCAGGAAGGCTAATAGAATGTTGGCCCTTATAATTTTTTTTATTCATTCACGGGATGATGGCATCACTGCTAGGCCACATTTATCGCCCATCCTAATTGCCCAGAGGGTAGTTAAGAGTCATCCACATTACTGTGGGCCTGGAGTCATATATAGGCCAGACTAGGTAAGGATGGCAGATTTCCTTCCGTAAAGTAAATTAGTGAACCAGATGGGTTTTTCCAAAATTCGACAATGGATTCGTGGTCATCATTAGATTCTTAATTCCAGATATTTATTGAATTCAAATTCCACCATCTGCCTTGGTGGGATTCGAACTTGAGTCCCCAGAACATTATCTGGATCTCTGGGTTAACAGTCCAGCGATAATACTACTCGTCCATCGCCTCCCCTGTTTTAGTGGGTTGGAGGGTAAGAGTAGGGAAGTCTTACTCCAACTGTACAGGATGCTAGTGGGACCTCATCAGGAATACTGAGAGCAGTTTTGGTTCCTTTATTGAAAGAAGGATACCATTTCATTGCAGGCAAGTCAGAGGAGGTTCACTAGGATGATCCCTGGTAAGGGTCCCTGGTCTTATGAGCAAAGGCTAAACAGGTTGGAACTCTACTCACTGGAGTTTAGAATAATGAGAGGTGATCTCATTGAAACATATAGGATTCTTAAGGGGCTTGTTAGAGTAAATGCTGAGAAGATACTTCCCCTCATTTGGAGAGTCTAGGACCAGAGGGCACACTCTCAAAGGAGCCGCAATTTAAGACTGAGATTGGGATTTCTTCTGAGGGCTGAGAGTCTTTGGAACTCCTTGCCAAGGAGAACTTTGGAGTCCTTGTTAATATTTAAGACTAAGTTAGATAGATTCTTGATCAGTCAGGGAATTGAGGGTTATGGGGAAAGGGCAGGAAAGTGGACATGAGGAATGTTGGATCAGCCAGGATCCTATTGAATGGCAGAGCAGTCTCGAGGGGCCGAATAGCCTACTTCTGTTTCTGTTTCTTATGGTCTTAGTAGATATTGTGGCCTTTTGAATCTGTTTTGCTTTTCAATGAGATCGTTGCTGATCTGATAGTGGCTTCAGTTCTTCTTTTCTGTTGACTGCTGGTACCTTTTTGTTGCCTTCTTTAAAAATATTTAAGGATTCAGTCTCCACTGCTGTCTGAAGGAAGACAATTCTATAGATTAACAACCTGCTGAGGAATGAATTTTTTTATTTGTTGTTTAAATGGGAAACTCCTCATTAATAAGCTGTTTCCTCTTAAATTGTAATCTGTGCCTAGAAAAAGGAAAACGTCCTCACAACACCCACCGTATCAAGCCATGTAATACAATAAGCTCATCTCTTTCTTCTAAACTCGACAGATACAGGTCCAACCATTCCTCGTGAAATAATCCTCTTACCCTGGGAATGCATCTGTGATGAGGGCTGTGTGGGATCTCAGGAGGGCATAATCAGCTTAAAGGATTTATATTAGATATATCTGTTCTGGAGAAGTATGTAGTGCGTTTTGAGAGGAAGGAGGAGAGGATTAAACACTGAGTGATAAAACTTTAAAAGAACCAGAGGAACAGAGCCTTAAAAAGTGGCAAGACAAGTCAGTCAAGTTGCAATTGTGATAAATAGAAGCTCTAGTGCAAAAGCAGAGAGGTAATGTCTATCCTATAGGCGTGAACTTCGATTACTGTTAATTGTTTTAGGTTATGTATGAGGGAAGATGTGAAGAGGATGCAGACAACTACAGAAGATTATAAACAGATTTTAAAACCAGAAACGAAACCTTCAAGAATTATGAGAAAATTATAGGGGTTGAGCGAGTGTTCTGTTTTTCAAAAAAAATTGTGGATGTTCTGCCCCAGCCCCCACATACATGCTCACCATCTCACAGTAGAATTTTTTTTCTAACAAGATCCAAAGACAACAGTGGAGAACTAGCTATTTCATAGAACAAAGTCATCTTAACATAACAGCTAGGAGGGTAGGGGTACAGAATCTGTTTTTCATTCTCCCTTTTAGGTTCCTTTCAGCTGTGTCCCCTTCTCCCTGTGATTGAACTGCTTTCTGTGTCCTCTGATAGTACAGTCTAAACTGATTTGACTTTACATCCTGCCAAAGCCCCTTGATATTGTGTACTGCTATTTGCTCATATACTGTCTATATGTCTTTCAGAAATTAAAGCAATATTTCATTGCCGTTTTAGGCACTTTCTTGAATGTATAATCTTGTGGGATGGCAGAAATGTTCAGCAGGCTTACAGGGAACTTTCTTTGACATTTGTTGCTGTTATGACCCTTTCTCCCCATTTGTTCTGATGGCCACAATCATGCTTGTTCCTCCTTGTCCCTCTATTCCTTCTGATTCCTCTTCTCTCCCGTGCTGTTCGTATTCTTACTCTTCATCTTCATCCAGCAGGCAGTATCTGGCGTTACGTCAGAGCGAGTGCATCTTACGTCCCTTATTTGCCTCCTCTCTGTGACCCCAAGGACGGGCATTTGCTTGTGGATGGCTGCTATGTAAACAATGTCCCAGGTCAGCACTACAATCGCTTCCTATCTACACTGGCCCACTGGGGACATTGGATACTTGGGGCTCAGAAGGAAATTTGAGCATTTGTGTGTTTGAAATCTCTATAATGCTATTGACATTGAGTATCTGATTATATTACAGCTCCTGAAAGTTGTGGGTAAAGTAGTGATTAAACACTGGAAGCCAACAGTGGTAAATGTATAATTCAGTATGTAATACTGATTATAATTTAAACTGTAATTGGCTGAAAATGTATTCAATGTTAAGCAGTTCTGTGGTTTATGCTACCTTGTTTCCTTCTGAACCAAGTCTTTCTATGAAGGTTTATTATCCTCCAGCCCAGCAATTGGCAGGAGGTGGATAAGTCTTGTGTCGGGACCACAACACACTTTTTTTGTCAGCTGTTCTGTCAAATACTAATCTGTACAGCATCAAGGGGTCATGCAGGCTGACACCAGTTCCTTGGCCCAGGGCTTCTCATCATTTCTCTTGTAATGAGTGAGTTGTCCTCTCATTCACCAGGTAGCTTTTCGACTTGTTCTTATTTTGATTCACAATTCAATTTTGATTAAGATTACTGCTTCATAATTCACTTTGCATTACTGAATAGACATATAGAAACATCCTCCCAAAAATTAAATCATTCCAAAAATGTGCTGTCCACCTGAATTGTCAGAGACCCACTCGTAAACTACACAATTAAACCAAACTCCAATTGGTTCAGCTTTTGCAGTGGAATCCTGTTCTATGCAATAAACTCGATTTTGGTTAGAATGTTTTTGGCAGATTATACAGATCAGCAAGATGCTTAATTTTTCAATCAACATTTGCTTGTGATTGTCTCTACTTTTTTTTGATTGGGTAGGCCTATTTTTGTTTTATGTAGTGAGTAGCAGTAACCTCTAAGAAATAAGATTAAAGCTGGAGTTGTGAGTTTAATAATTTCAAATAATATTATAAGAAAAAGGAAACATTTTCAAACAACGAGTGGTTAGGGTCTGAAGAGGACTGCCTGAGCATTTGGTGGAAGCAGGCTCAGTTGAGGCATTCAGAAGGGAATTAGGTGGTTATTTGAAGAGGAACCATGTGCAGGGTTACAGGGAGAAAGTTAAGAGAATGACACAAAGTGAGGGCCTGCAAAGACACGATGGGCCAACCTCTACCTCCTATGCTGTAATCATTCCATTTTTTGAAGATTGAAGTAACAACTTGCATTTATGTAGTTCCTTCAACAGAATAAATGTACCAGAGCACACAAATGGTATGGTTACAGAGATGGTGACTGGGGGATAGCAATAGGCTTCCTGTTGTCTGTATTACTACTTGTATTGAATTAAGTTTCATTGACCTTGCTGACAATCCTCACTCTCAATGGGTAGGTGATTTAACGTTTGGTCTAAAGTGTTAGAAATTAAATAGTGTGCCAGCGAAGGAGAGAAGAGGTGTGGAGAGATTAGGGAGGAAATTCTAGAGCCTCAGCAGGGGGCATGGCTGCCAATAGTGGGAGAGACAAACAAGAACAGAATTAAGAGAACCTTCGGTGCTGGAGGAAGTTGCAGAGCTGAGGAATGATTTTCTTTTAAAGGAGAAAGGTTGTGTAAATGTTTGAATGCACAGAACTACATTTGGTATGAGGCAATGGTTGCTAAACGGAAAGTTGAATAAAGCACTCAAGCATCTTGTAAAGAGCTTGATTCGGAGTGTTGCTTTGTATAACTTCAAGGCATGGAGAGAAGGGAGGCCATCTTCAATAACTCTGATGTAGATCTGCTGGACTGACAAGACAATGTGTTGAAGTGCTGTGGGAAGTGCATTACAAAGAAAATAGTTGAACATGATTAGGAAACTGTAGAGTCTGGACAGAATGTATTGCATACAATTCTGTTTCTGTAAAATGTTACAGAGAAAAGATTTCAAGAAGGAAGAGGAAGGCAGAGAATATCAATACTGGATGGCTTGGAAGTTAAAGGATTAATTGGCAGAGGAAAAGGAGAGATGGAAAGATTACTAAGAGCCCAAGACCTTGTCTTTGAGCAGAGCATACAAGGTGATGAGATGATCACCGAGTGTATCAATTGCTCATAGAAATTGCAGGCACGTGGATTCCACTGTAACTGAGCATTATTAATCAGGAGAGTGAGTAGTTTTTGGCAGTTCAGCTGGTTATCTTGAAGGAGCAATTCTCACATGAGTTGTTCAGAATGTTTCCCCCAACAGTCTGCCACCCCTACCACCTCCCAGAATGTGGGTTTGCAGCAGAGTTTATGCTGCAGGTTTTGTGATGCTGTGCAGATTTCCTCGGCCTGTGAGTTGAATGCTGTGACCTCCCCTTCTCCACTCCCTCTGCACAAATCACAGTGTGTGCTGAGGAAGTGGGAAAGGGCGGCAGGTCACGCGCACCTGTGCTCTTCTAGGCCTCTGACTGCATTTGTTCCTCGTGTGGTTAGGCTCGCTGTGGCGGTACGTGCGAGCTAGCATGTCCCTCTCGGGCTACCTGCCACCACTCTGTGATCCAAAGGACGGACATTTGCTCATGGATGGAGGATACATCAACAACCTGCCAGGCAAGTATGTGACGTTAGGATAGCGGAGGCAAAAGGTGAGACCTAAATAAGCTTCTCATAAGCAAAGTACGTAGAAGCCTCTGTATTCCTCAGTTCAAAATGTTCTTTTTATAAATTGGTGCAGCCCCAATGCAGCCATACAAAAAGAGAAGTGCCTACTCACAGTTGCTGATGAACCATCCTTATTTCAATCTGTCAAAAATCTGACTCACTTTGCAGCCTTCACAGCTCAAACCCAGATGCTGATGCAATCAGGAGATGTTTAATCACAAGCCGATGATGGAGAATTAACCTACTGTTGATATGGGATGGCACGGTCCACGTATTTCACTGTGGCAGCAGATTCAGTGCAACCTAATGCCCAGGCACATTTCTCCTCTCCCTTCATCACCTGGTCAGCAATAATGGAGGCATCTTTATTGAAAGAGTCGGTGATCGCAAGCAATTATTAGAATATGTTCTGCAAAATTGATGCCTCCGATGCTCAATGTTAACACTATCAGCTGGAGGGAATGTGATTAATAAACCATGTGGATTGCGTTAATGAAACTTTGACAGGTCTCATTAGAAACTGGGGCCTGGTGTATGAACTGCATTCTCTTTAGTGTTAGTTCACAGAGGTGCACATTCAGAGGTGGCGAGCAGGAGATGTGGGGAAGTGTTCTGGCAGACCTGATGAATGATGGTAATTATTGTTTCCTGTTCATTACACTTATGATCAGGATTTTATCCCTACTTGCCACATACTGCGTAGCTTGGGATTTCCCAGTCCAATTGTGTGCAAACTTTGAATGCTGCTCCAGACCCAAACCCATTACTGCCATTTCCAGCTTTCCAGCTTTTCTTAAACACCTTTCCCTTTTCCTGTTCTAGTCTGTTCTGTTCTATCAGCATTTAAGGGAAGATAATAACCATTGTGGTAATGCCACAGGATTGATGATCCAGAGGACGAGGCTAATGCCAGGAAGGCACTAGTTCAAGTCCCACCATGGCAGGTGATGGAATTTGAATTCAGTGACAAGCCTGGAATTGGATGCTAGTCTCAGTAATGGTGACCAAGAAACCACTATTGATTGTTGAAAAAACCCATCGGCCTTTTGCTATTTCTAGGGAAATCTGCTGTCCTCACCTGGTCTGGCTCACATAATGATTCCAGGCCTACAACAATGTTGGTGGTGCTTAAATGTCGTCTTGGTTCTGAGAAAGCAAATACTGGTCTTGCTGGTGATGCCTGCATCCCGTGAAAAAAAAACTTTCAAAATGTTCCTTCCCAACGAGTTTACCCCCTCATTGCTGACCCTGTGGATACAACATGTGGATCAACTCTCTTTCTCTGCACCTCTCCTTCCTCTAGAATATCCATTGACTTGTGAACAAGACCCTTGCCATTATTGTGATTGGCTGCAACAAGATCACATCCTTGACAACTACCTAAATGAAGCTGCCTGTCCAGGCTGTGCTATCTACCATTCAATCCGAACCATTCTCCTTGTGATTTGGTTGTTGCTACCAAGTTGGTCTGATGCTCCCTCCTCCTCTGGCCCTTTCTCCACCCATTTCACCTTTCATTCGCTATTGGCCAGCCAATTATTTCTCACAGAAGTGTCTTCACTGTCAACATCCCTCAGCCTCTGCACCAAGCAGGCTGTCATCCTCAGAGACTCCAACCTCTGTGTTAACAATCTGTACTCTCTTCATCTCCTGTCAGTTCATTGATCTCTATCTTTCCTTTATCTCAACTTTCATACAGATTCCCCAACCAGATCAGCCACTTGGCCTTTGTATCTCATAAGACCTCAGTACGTATGTCATATCAACCACATGTGATGTAATCTCTTGTCACTTTGTAGTGTCCATTTCTGCTCTCACTTCTCCCTTCCATACCCTCAAGTGACTTCCTCCTGTACCTGACCTTAAACATCTCTTTCCCAATTCACTTAGAATTGCATTTTCAGAAATCCCATCACATGTTGGCCTTCCAATTGCTATCACAAACATAAAAAATGTGTTAATGGAACATCGGGAAAGCTTTTACGGGATTTGACAAAGCCAGCGAGGGTTTATGAAAGTCAGAATATGCTTAACAAATCTACTGGAGTGTTTTATGGTTGTAACTAGTGAAATGGATATGGGAGAACCAGTGGATGTGCAGTATTTGGATATTCCGAAGGAACCTCGCAAGAGGTTAGTGGGCAAGGTTGAAGCATGTGGGTATAGGGAATAATATATAATTCGAAAATTGGTTGACAGATCAGACACACAGTGGGACTAAGTGGGTCTTTTTCCAAGTGGCAGGCAGTGACTATTGGAGTACCACAAGGATCAGTGCTTGAGCCCCCACTATTTATGACATATGTAAATGACCTGGCAGAGGGAACTAAATGCAACATTTCCCAGTTTGCTGATGACACTAAACTGGGTAGGATTGATAGCCATGAGGAAGATGCAAGGAGACTTAAGGTGATTTGGGCAAACTGATTGAGTGGGCAAATGCATGTTGATGTAGTACACCGTGGCTAAATGTAAAGTCATACACTTTGTTGTGAGATACAGAAAGGAAGAGTGCTGTTTAAATGGTGACATATTGCGAAGTGTGGATGCACAAAGGGACCTGGGTGTCCTTGTATACCAGTCAATGAAAGTGAACAGAGTGAGCAGCAAGCAACTAGGAAGACAAATGATATGTTGGCCTTCATTGCAAGAGGAATTGATTCAGAAGCAGGGAAGTCTTGCTGCAATTATACAGGGCTTTGGTGAGATTGTACTGGAATATTGTAGGCAATTTTGTTATCCCTCCTTAAAAGAGAATGTAGTTGCCTTAGAGGGAGTGCAACACATGTTTGATGCTGGGCATGGCAGGGTTGTCCTATGAAAAGAGATTAGTTCAACTGGGCCTGTATTCACTAGAGCTTAAGGTATTTGATTGAGACATATAACATTCTAACAGGGTTGGACAGACTAGATACGGGAGGATGTTTTCCCTAGTTGGGGAATATCGAACCGGGGACAGAGTGTCAGGATATGGGGTAGACCATTTACAACTGAGATGAGGAAACATTTATTCACTCAAAGAGTAGTGAACCTGTTTTCTATTACAGAAGGTTGTGGAGGCCAAGTCACTGAATATAGTCAAAAGACAGAGAGATTAATTTTTAGCATTTAAAGGTGTGGAGAAGAATGTGGAGAGAGCATTAATGTGGCATTGAGATAGTGGATCAGCTGTGATCCTGTTGAATGTCAGTGCAGGTTCAACCTGCTGAATGACCTACTGCTACTCTTAGTTTCTATCTTTTTCTATGTTTCTATATCTGCCACTCCTGATTTGTTCAATTATCCCCTCACCTTCACCCTGAATAAAGCTGTTACCCTCACCCTGGGCATTTCCCCTCAGTAGCTTCCCGTTGCCCCCCTCCCCCCAAAAAAAAAGCCCCAGTAAGGCCTTCAATTCCACTTTCTTTAAGTCCAAGAGACATCTGGCTCCACAGTGCAAGATCATATCTTGGTCCAGTCCTTGTTTGTTAAAGCTGCTCATATTCCAACATTGCCCAAGAGCCCAATGATACAAAGATAGCCCACATCCTTAGCTTCTTTTCTCCATTGCAGGCAGCCGTCTTAAAGAGCTTCTACTGTATTGGCACTTCAAATACATGCATGAGAGGTTTTAGATTTATTTAACACTAAGTGTAACATCATTAGATCATCTTCCCCAGCTGCTTCCCTCCTTTCTCCATGTCCACTAGACCAGACTCTCTCTGAGGTTCCACCCTGCTTAATCATTTTTATCTAACTTCTCTCCTATATCACCTCATGCCCTCTCCTTTCCCAGCCTTGTTCATAAAACCCAACTCCTCCATGGACTTTATTTCCACCAAACTGCTGATCACCCAACTTCCCTTCTGGGTCTCTATGTTGAGCTGATGTTGTAAACAGTTCTCTCCGTTCAAGTGTTGTCCCTCTCCGTTAAATCTGCTATAAATGTCACTTTTCTGCAAGGCAAGACCCTTGATCCATCTTTCCTTGCAAACTACTGATTTATCTTCAACTGCCTTTTTTTTCTCTGAATTCCTTCTAGATATTTTCAGCTCCCAAATCATTGCCCATCTGTCTTGGAATTCCATGTTTGAATTCCTCAGTTAGGTTTCTATCACAGTACAGAGACAGCTCTTACCAAAGTCACAATTGACTTCCTATCTGACTGTGGTAAAAATAAGGTTTTCTGTTCTTGTCCCCCTCTTTGACTTCTCTGCAACCTTTGATATGGTTGGCCACAGCATCCTCCTCTAATGCTGCCGAATGATTGTCCGTCCAGTTAGGGCTTATACTTTCCTAGTTCCATCTCAGATTATCACCTATACTGGCTTCTCTTCCTGATCCTGGACTACTGCATCTGGTGCTCCCGAAGGATTGATGCTTGGTCCTGTCTTATTTCTATCCCTGTCCCTTAAGCATCATCCAAAACACACAAGTCAGTTTTCACACACACACTGACATCAACCAGCTCTACCTTACAGTCACCTCTCTCGATTCTTCCACTCTATTTAAGTTCTCAGACTTCTTGTCTGATAATCTAGCACTAGATGAGAAGGCATTTCCTCAAATGAAATATTTGATAGACTGAAACCGTTGTCTTTAGATCCAGATGACGAACTTTGTGCCCTATCCACTGACACCATTTCATTCCGTGGCAGTCTCGAGTTTGCAAGCTTGTCATTACTAGACCACGCAGTGATTCTGATCTCTTATTTATGCCATCATGAAGGTAAACTGTTTACATCTTAGTTCTATCCCTTATCTCCCCACCTGCTATCAGCAGAAACCTTCATGCCTTTTTAGAGTTGACAATTCCATTGATCTTGGTCAGACACCCATACTCTATCTTTTTGGAAACTCGAGTTTATACAAAACACCACTGCCCATGTCTTCACTTGCACCAAGTCCAGCTCTCTATTAGTTTTGACTCACCAATGCACACTGGGCCCTTGTTGAGCAACCCTTTGTTGTTAAAATTTAATTCCTGTTTTCAGATCCCTCCATGGCCTTGTTTCTCCCTATCCCTAAAATCTCCTCCAGCTACACAACGCTCAAAGATATCTGTCCTCCTCTAACTCTGGTCTCTGATTTGAATCAGCCTTTTGCATAAAACCCACCTCTTCCCTGGACTTTATTTCCATTAAACTGCTGACACCCAACTTCCCTTCTGGGCCTCTATGTTAAGCTGATGTTGTAAAGAATTCTCCCCGTTCAAGTGTTGTCCCTCTCTCCGTTAAATCTGCTACTAATGTCACTTTTCTGCAAGGCAAGACCCTTGATCCTTCTTTCCTTGCAAGCTATTGATTTATCTTCAACTGCCCTTTATTTTTTAATCTCTGAAGTCCTTCCAGACATTTTCAGCTCCCAAATCATTTCCCATCCCACGTTCAACTGCCTGGGACCTAAACTCAAATTCTCTCCCTGAAACTGTCCATCTCACACTTGTTCTTCAAACTGGTCTTTCGATCAAACCTCTAACAATTTATTGTTATCACCTTTGTTTAAAGCCATTGTTTTATAATACTCCTGTGGAGCACTTTGGCAATTATTATATGAATGCAGTTTTTTTGTAACACAAGTTGCCAACTGCACCAAGTGTCTGATGGGGGAAGCTCCATCTCAGCACTGTACATTCCCTGGCTATTTTAATGGAAAAATACTAGTTCCTTTTCCTCAGTTGGACTGAAATAAATCCTCCAAATGCATCGCTTTATTTATCCCCCTCCTTCAGTCCCTTAGAGCCACATAATGACCTTTAAAGATGAGCTGGAATCTGGTAGTGTTGCTCTTGGGTCAACCAGCAGCAGGAGGGGAATTGGTAACACGTGTGAATGTTGAGCACGGGCACACTCCTATCTCTGCATTGTGCAACTCTCTCCATGCACTCTCTTTCAAGGGCAAATACAAATTTATTGGAAACTTGGTTCAAAGTGAACTTGTCTAATGATGGAGTAATGATATCAGTGAAATAGGATAAAGAAATCCGTATATTGCTGGATTGAAAAATAATGAATCATTATAGATGTTTGTATAGGTAAAGAGTAAAGGCAGTAATACATTCCAGATTTCAGAACAACAC